AAGAGGAGAGCGGACTCCGCACTCCGAGTTCCGCCTCAGCTTCACCTAGCTTCAGAGATAAATCCTGCTTAGCAAGCGTATGAATAATTTAAAACACTATTAAAAGAGAAAAAAGATTACCAAGAGTTATACTGCAAAAAGTGTACGGTAACTATAATATTTCTTGTATACCAAACGATTCTGTTAAAACACGTTCCTTTAACCCTTAACATTAGTCCCTTTTGGAACTTAAGAAATTTAAGTGTGAGCTGGCAACGTTCCAAAAGTGACAAATATCACATGCTGTGTTTCAACTTAATTTTGTGACCAGTAAACTCTCTTAAATTGCGATAATTTTGTTCAGATCTTCAACTCCTAATAGGGTCTATCATACTGTACCAAAATATAAAACTACGCATTATCCCAAGCCAATTAAATCATGAGAATATGTCTTTTAATAGTGAGTATTAAAAGCACACCATATCATGGTCCAATGATTGCCAGATTTGAGACTTTGGTGTATCTTGTATTGCATTGATCAATATTTAACTTTGGACATACCACTTAGAAATTAGATATTGACAATGAAACCACCCACTTCATTTAGTTTATTGTAAAATTTATTGAAGTAAAATTTAATTAAATAAATGGAGGATTGATTAAGAAGATCATGGCCATGTATCTAAGTTGTTTTCATTTATGTCTTTGAAATATTCATATGTGTTCAATGTTACAAATTATACTAAATCGACAATGTTTCAAGGAAAAAATGGCAAACAAAAGCCTTAGCTAACCTATGAGACAAAGGACTGACGATAACGTTTCGACGTAGAAACCTAGGTCTCCACTATGAAATAAATTGGATCGTAAGGTAGGCCTTACATTTACTTATGTTAATGAAATTGTTTTAAAATATGTACAAATGAAGACATGTCATTGTTTATTCCAATTTTTAATATACTCAAATAAGCCTATGATTTAATTAATATAATTTGGAATCGAAAAAATCCGTATTCTATAGAATACACCTATGGTAGCCTAAGGATTAAATTTACTCAATTTACAAATAATGAATCATGAATCACTCAAGCTTGTACAAATTACCAATCGCATCAGGCGTGCTTTATTTATCGAATTGTACGTTTAAACTGAGTAGTAAGATAATGAATACTTGCATAACAGCAGCAACTGAAGAAAGCAAATCCGAACAAGTTGAAAAAATAATAGTGAAATACGCATCGACAAAACTGAGCCCACTTAACACAACAACATGTTATACATTTGCAAATTGAGGTCATTAGTAATGCACATATAAAGTGCACTCATGTTTCAAACTAAATGAGTATACATTGACACTTTTTTGAATAAACATGTCAATATTTTGTTTTGATGTTTGTTTTCACATATGTTTTAAAAGATAGGAACAGTACTTTGTAGGCTGCTTTGTATGTACAGTACTTTGTATGAGTATCTAGAACCAGTCTATGGTAAAAAGAGGATGATACAATTATTAATTGCGTAGAATCTCTGATTTCCGTTATCATTCATTTCAGCCGTTTTTTTTCATATTTACAACATCATTCCAGGAGCACAAACAGTGAAAATATGCACAAAACCAAAATATCGGTATATTATTGACGATTTCCACTTTATTGACAAAAGGTGTGTTAATAAAGTTAATAACAGTTTTTCCCCTGCCATCACCTGAGAAAGTGGGCTTCATTGCACTGATTATAGTACAGACAGTTGCTAATTGCTACATTTACTTACTTTTACCGCACTCTTTTTACTTTTGTCGCACTATCTTTTTCGCCGCACTCCAGTGTTCCAACCAAACAACAGAAAACAGCGTGCTTTTATTAGACACGTATACACGTGTGTTCGCTTGAAAGTAAGTTGGCAACACAACGACAACGATCAGTTGTTACAGTGTTTCCCATTTTATTCAACGCTTGGATTTAACCTAACCTTGTTTAGTGTTTGAAAGACTATGTTTTATGATAACTGTTTGAAAAATATAATGTGTAACACAAGTGCAAATTGCCTTTGCTGCATTCGAGAAACTTTCCACACGGCCGCCTCGTGTGCAGCAAAGTGCCACTACGCACACTAGTTACACAAATAACTATTGAATCAGTACCTTCTCCCCACCAAAAATAATGTTGAATAAATAAACTGCAATTCGTTTTAGTATGCAAACTGTAAGTTAAAGTGTCCATAGATAATTAAAGTCAATGAAAATTGTAAAACATACAGAATTTATAAAGTCATAATGAACTGCAAAGTGCAATCTTACTTAAGTGTACTTTTTAAATATATTTTACTGAATCTAGAACACCATAAAACATGTGATGGGGGGAGGGGGACGGGAGAAGAATGATGTCTGAAGTAGTTTTGTTCAGAAGGAAAGAGAGGCAATAAGTTAGCAGGAGTGTTTGTGTTTCAAGTAGCAGCAATGTTTCTATACATGGACGATTGGCTCAACCTGTGGCGTACTTCTACCACATTGATTTGGCCTCTTTGCACAAACAGACGATATGTGAGTAGTGATATCAAAAGATTGGATGTTACACTCAAAATAAGGCACAGGTGTATTCAATATACACACATTCAAAAATACGGAAGGCGAAAGGTAAAAAAGAGTTTATATTTTTGTTTGGCTGCAAGAGGAGTCATTGATAGATACCTACACATCGTCACGAATAAATACACAATATGAAACCGGTAATATATTTAAGACAAAGCACATTGGCAGAAAGGGTTTTACGTAAAATAGCGGGTGACAACAACCGTTTCATGATGCTGCAAAGCTAGTGATGCAACATATAAATACTATCGCATGAAAACTAAAGGGTAACTTCCCAGAAACAAAATATAATTCACCAACAATATATTTTGCCAAAGTAATACTTGAAACCACCAAAACCACCAAGAAGTGGTCCTGTCTTGTGATCCGTTGTGGGGCTCAATGTTTGCTTGGTCCAGGTACAGGCGTTGAAACTAGGACAATGACTTAATCCGATTAGTGCGTTCCACAATACCAGGAAACGCCAGCCCCTACATATCTCTACTAGATTTCAAAACCGCTAGCCACAGGCCTGCTTTTGAACGCCTTCCCCCTTTAGCACTGAAGATTTACAACCCTGTTTTTACCCCAAAACACAATCGGAGAAACTTGCCAGCGAAATATGTTTCTGAAAATCTGTACTGTCGGCAGACTGAATGGGAATAAGAATTTCGTGACATTCTTCTTTATGATAGTCATCAGGTGACGCCAAAACCTAAGCAAAGAATTTCAGAAGACCTAAAATACAACTGGTGCGATTACTAAAGTTGGACAATATAAGGTCAGGAACGATCAAGTGTATTCATAATATTGAGAATACTTGTGTGTGGAGCTGTGCAATCTCACTGAAATTAGTATCTTACACTATTTTTCATAAACAAAGCTAGCATGACAGCAACACAAATATTACTAACTAGCAGAGTACCCGTTATTCGTACGGGGTTGGTGTGTAAGTATGAAATGCTTATGAGTCAGTGTTTAAGAGGGATTCATAGATAATATTATAGTACTAGAGGACCCGTGCTGCTCCACAGCGTTGAAATAAATTTCATACCCAAGAAGTATTCAATTTTTTTTGATTGAGTAATACAGTATCTTGAACTGATTAAAACGATCAATAGCTCAAATCAAAGCCTATCATTTACTGATTATTTTCGGTCCAAAAATATAAAAAAACATAAACAATACTGGAGCGATTGGTTTTTAATCATAGAAAACCCTTATAAAAATAATGTTTATGTTGGTTGTTCACCTTGACTTATCTTGAAACTCGTCCGATTTGAATAAATAATATTTTAAATGAAATCCGGTATTTTACTGAAGGTTATTAGACCAAAATATATAGGATTATGTAATTATAACTGGTGAAATACATGTTAAATTGAACTAAGAATTCGAAAAAATCAAATTTACGTTTTTTGGTCGAGTAATATACAGTAGTAGATAAATATATGCCGATGCTTCATGTGGAATTTGCGTGCACAACTTCAATTGGAGACCTCAACCATAAAAATCGGTTGGGTTGAAGAGCCAAACCATAGATTAAACAAGGGATTATGTTTAATCTATGGCCAAACGAACTCGGAAAAGAAAAACCAAATTTAACTCCCATAAGAAATACATAGTGTACAAATTTCGTTTAGCCGAGTGGGACTGTAGATAAATATATCCCGATGCTTGATGTAAAATCTGTGCGGGCATATCTCAAATTTTAAACCTAATTCATTAAAATCGATCGGGAAGAAGAGCCAAAAGAATTCGGGAAAGAAAGCCTATATTTTGTCAATATAAAAAATGGAATATTTAGATTTGTAGGAAAATTGTGTTATGTAGCTTAGGTTCATATCCCCAATTGAAATTGGTCATATTACAGTAACAAAGGCGGTACATTTTCTTTTCGCGAAACAAAGTAGTAAAACATTATGATATTGTTAAGTAAACTCAATCTCACAATTCTATCATGAGTAATAATGTCCTAATAATTGGGGTATTTCTCAAATTTTCAGCGATTAGGTTGTTTAATACGGGTTTTTGTAAACAATGGACATATGGTTTTTACCTTCTTCAGACATATGAAGAAGGTATGTTTCGTAAAAACTTTCGAGTAGATGTATCCATTTTCGATCAATGTGATGTGAGATTTGTAATTGTAATTACCCACATATTTCTTCTTTACGTAGGGTTAGGCGTGGACTCTGTGCTAAGGTGAGACCACCATGAATTACAAGCCTAACCACAAAAATAAGGTGGCCTCACCTTGTTTCAAAGTCCACGCCAAAACAAAAGGTGTGGGGGAAATACATGGGCGGGATAGGGATGCACCATAATTTGAAACCAGAGCCCAAAATCAGGGTGAGATATCTGCTGAACCTATAAATACGGGGTCGCACAGGCAAGCATCATCAGTCTGTTTCGAGCAGTCTTAGAGTAACGATCTCTCGTACTTCCACGCACCATGGAGAAACAGGTCTATTTAGATGATTGGTCTACGGACATAGAGGGTAGCAGTAATAGAGGAAGGACCTCTCAAGCTACCCAAACTACTCGCACCATGACCGATCAAGTCTATTTAGATGATTGGTCTTTGGACATTGAGGATAGTGAGGTACGTGTATCAATGTTACATTATAAATAAATGTGACATTTAAACACAAGTGGACGTTTTAACTTGTCTAATCCCACTTGGTAACCTTGTTTGGGATCACGTGGGTGGTTGTGACTAAGGAAAGGTAACAAAAACCAATTAGTAATAGTTGGGCTATATTACGTTACTAGGACGGAAAATATGTGTTTACCGGCAGAATGTGGTCGTTCCTGCACTAGACGAAGTTGATTCCGGTAAACACATTTTGGACAAGTGAAGTACGATATTTTTCGCAATGCTATTCCAACTAGCCTAGAAATAAAAGAAATAAAACTGTTCCATTCCGTAATATATTCCCACTGACTTAGCATTACTACTTATAACTTCTAAGAGAGGTTATGTTTTCGTTTATTGATTAGTTGACCTGTTGCCATTTATAATCAGCTGGTGTTTGGTAAAAACTTATTACACCACACTATACCGTTTTACTCTCAACTTTGTCTCGTACGGGAACGACCACACTTGTACGGTAAACACATATTTTCAGGACTAGAAACGTAGTATCTAATATCAAATAATATACCTAATATACGTAATAAACATTTAAGTCCAGTACAGTACGTAATGGAAGCAGTACGTTTGATTGAGCAGGTGACAACCAGCTATTTTTCGGACTAAAGTCAAGAATGGAAAGTATATTAAAACATTGTAATGTGGCGAACAACTCATTCTCTTAGATAATATTTTGGATGCTGTGAAACGATATATCGTTGTTTTAAAAAATCTCCAAGGGATATATAATTCTGTTAGATATTCTGTTCTGTTAGATAATATTCTATTCTGCTAGATAATATTTTTGGAAAACACTCGGCCTTGTTAAAATAAAAACAAGAACTGGTCATTTGTTATTTCCCTTTAAGAACCAAATTTCATGTTCAAGGAAATGGCTGCGACGTCCAAAGACAAGCTTACAACAGAGAAAACACCCGCTCCTGTAATCAAAAGATACCCGGAACAATACATAAGAAAGCATTTCGGAACCTCCGCAAAAAATAACTGGTGAGTAAAGATTTGCAATATTTATTCTAAATAATTCTATCAATTTGAATTGAGATTGAGTGTTAATTTTGAAATGCTAAGTCATCAAGAGCATAGTCCACAAGATATGAACGCGATATCCATTAAGTCTCAATCAGATTAAGTTAAGTTTCAATCAGATTTAATGGATACCAATGAATGTATTTACTACATTTTATGCGTTAACTGCAGTTCTTGAAAAGATTAATTCACTCACCACTGAACTTCATTGATTGAATAAATTAAAGTTGGTTGCGTCCAAACTAATCCACGGTCAGAGGGTAGTTTTGGTACATCCAAACTAATCCGGGGGTCTGGCAGATAGATAATAGGGTTTCTTGTAACATCAGAATTGATCAGTATTTCCCATCTATCTCAGGATCAGTTTGGGTGTTCCAAAGCTACCCTCTGACCTCAGATCAGTTTGGATGCAGCCAACTTAACGAATCCGTAAAATCGGTGTTGGGGAAATAATAATGTAAAGTAAAATCACCCTGTATAAAAAGTTCTTTCCGTTCTGATTTTAAATGTCAAATAGCTAACGATGGCCAGCTGACGACATTTAGCCGTAAGTGTTTTCATTGTTACACTGTATCATAACTGATAATGTGTGAGTTTTCAGGAAACAAATTCTGATTGGACTAAACGCCTGCTCGATTCAAGTTATTCCCGAAGGGGCTTCATTCAAGCGATTCAAGCAGATGACAGAAACAAACGAGGAGGTGTATGAGATACCGGTGTACGAGGTACCGGACCCTTCAATCGAGGTGAGCTAAATAAACCTTCTGACAAAATTTAGTTATTTGACTTGATAGTTGATGTAATCAGAAATACGTCTACGAAATAAAGTCACTCGAATTTGACAGATTAACTAAATTAAACGGTTCAACTTTGAACTCTGTTATAGATTTGGTAATTTTTTAATCGTGCTTTTTATTTATTTCATTTTAAATAGTGTCCTCACACAAACGAACAACTACACTGCTAACTATATCTTAGTAATACATTTATAGCAAAATTTTAGACAATGTGCAAAATATAATAAAACGATAACCAAAGTTGTGAGTGTTTCATCAATCGGGGATTTAATAACTTTTTCATACGTATGTCCCATTCTTTGTACTTCAGTTGTAGCATTAACAGTATGTGTTGTCAACGAACGATAATTCACAAAATTATATATACATATATATATAGTCCGTTCAAGAAGTTTAGGTGGTATGAGGAAAGTTCCCCTCTTTTTCCTTAATAATATAATGTATATTTCAGCTGATTGACGTTTTGCTAAACCTCAGCTTTTGCTGTTAAACATTTGATTTAAATGTAAGATCAATTGGAGAGGACAGCATCATCTAAAACCGCCTACATTTTAATGGTGTATAGTAGAGTTTTGGGATACCAGACAGGTGTAATTTACAGGATGTTTGGGCTAGACAAGAACTGGTACGACATACATGCTCTCGTCCTCGTCTCAACTTACACGGAACCGTAAAAAAAACATGGCGGTGCAGTATGGCGGTGCAGTATGGCGGTGCAGTGTGGCGGTGCAGTATGGTGGTGCAGTATGGCGGTGCAGTATGGCGGTGCAGTATGGTGGTGCAGTATGGCGGTGCAGTATGGCGGTGCAGTATGGCGGTGCGGTATGGCGGAGCAGTACATGCGGTGCAGTACAGGCGGTGCAGTATGGCGGTGCAGTATGGCGGTGCAGTATGGCGGTGCAGTATGGCGGTGCAGAATGGTGGTGCAGAATGGTGGTGCAGTATGGTGGTGCAGTATGGTGGTGCAGTATGGCGGTGCAGTACATGCGGTGCAGTACAGGCGGTGCAGTATGGTGGTGCAGTATGGCGGTGCAGTATGGCGGTGCAGTACATGCGGTGCAGTACATGCGGTGCAGTATGGTGGTGCAGTATGGCGGTGCAGTATGGCGGTGCAGTATGGCGGTGCGGTATGGTGGTGCAGTATGGCGGTGCAGTATGGCGGTGCAGTACATGCGGTGCAGTACAGGCGGTGCAGTATGGCGGTGCAGTATGGCGGTGCAGTATGGCGGTGCAGAATGGTGGTGCAGAATGGTGGTGCAGTATGGTGGTGCAGTATGGTGGTGCAGTATGGCGGTGCGGTATGGCGGTGCAGTATGGCGGTGCAGTATGGCGGTGCGGTATGGTGGTGCAGTATGGCGGTGCAGTACATGCGGTGCAGTACAGGCGGTGCAGTATGGCGGTGCAGTATGGCGGTGCAGTATGGCGGTGCAGAATGGTGGTGCAGTATGGCGGTGCAGTATGGTGGTGCAGTATGGCGGTGCAGTACAGGCGGTGCAGTATGGCGGCGCAGTTTTCCGTCGCGCGTTGCGTCGCGTATACGCCCGATCGATTGCCAAACAAAACAAACCCTGTAGGACATATAAAAATAAAGGTCTACAAAATGAGAAGTTGAACAACACCTTTATGAGAATGGAAGTCACAAAAATGCAGTTTCAATAATAAAATAAATATATACGAGAGTTACACACGTAAAAACCTACAAAAATTGACGTCCAATAATTTAATTACTAAACTAGGAGTAAACAATATGTTATATTTTATCTTACTAATGTGTTTTCTTTTCTCAATATCAACAACGATAACATTGAAATTTTAACAGATTGTATCATTTTTCTTGTAGCTTCAGTGTCCGGATTGCTCAAAGACCTTTTGCAACAAGACCTATTTGAAGATTCACAGGGAGAAATCCTGTAGGACAAAGAAGGAGGAGAAGAAAAAGAGCAATTTCTTTTGTAACGAGTGCAAAAGAAACTTTACCAATGGCTTCACGCTTAGGAGGCACCAGGAATTTGCCCACTCGACAACCAACAAATTCCCGTGTCCGTTCTGCAGCAAAGTAAGTGTTTGTTTCACTTCAGTAGCAATACCTTTTTGAACTTTTCCTTAAACAAGTTGTTCTTCCTTTAATCCGTGACTAGTAAGAATATTTACGAGAATAATGTGGGTATTTATTACTACTACAACAAGCAGTTGCACACTAACTAGGATCTATACAGGGAAAGCTCAATCGCACTTATTGCTTATATTAACGAAGATCTCTTTATATTTGCAAGAACATTTTGTGATTTAAAATATGCACTATAACTTTGGGACCAGTGTGCTGAATAAAAACATTACAAAAAAATATAAAATCTTCATCAAATGGATTGTTATGATAACTGTATGTGTAACTGGACTTTCTGTACTGTAATTAGAATCTGAACTTGGTTAAGAAACACTCATCTCCTCTGTGACAGTATATTATTGGTTGGATATGTGTTTTGTATATGTGTCTAATGGAGTATGTATACTTTTTACAGTGTTTTAAAAGAAAGGACGCGCTGCAGCTTCACCTCAAAACTGATGTCTGTACAAAGTTCTCTCCGTCCCAGTAATAATTAACTTCGGATAAACAAACATCCAACTACTGTGAAATCATCTGTTTTCATTAAATGTTTATCACCTCTGTGAAAATTCATGATTACTTTGTTTACTATGTAGAAAGAATGTTCATTTTGCAAATTATCACTATTTTTTATTTTGCCGACATAAACAAACATTCATTATTGCTTCATCAAATAAATGTTCAATTTCAACCAAAAATGTAGGCTACAGTCAATGTAAATTTAAACTTTAAATAAATGGCCTAACCTAAAAAATGATATTACTTTTCAAATGTTTCTAACTGTAATTAAAAAAATGTATATACTATTTATTTATTTCTATTTTAATTAAAAAAGATAAATCGGAATTTTTACAATTTAAACATACTGTAGACGAAAGAGAAAATCGCCAATTTGACTTAAATATTAACGTAATTGTCAATACGTGGATATTTTGTTGTTCATAAGCGCAAACTAAATTTAAAACAAATAATTTATGTAGCAACAGTTTAACAATAATTAAACAGGAGAATATTAACATTATTGTATAATTTGTATGAGTACTACATGTGTTTTTCCTTTTAAAGTGATCATTTACTATTCAAAATATTATTAAACTGACAATTAGGATGACGTTAACGTTGACGTTAAAGTTCATAGGGTAGTTGCTCTTTACAAATGTACTCGCTAAGTTTATTTCAATTATTTGAGCTTACAAATTATTTAAATTTAATAATATATTACACAGCATCTCTACTTCTGATGCATTGAAAGCTGATTTTCCGTAATGTTGCCAAACGTATTGTTATATCTCTTGTACTGTAGCACTTGTACTTTTGTAACATTTTTAGTTGTATGGATATTATCTTTTTGAATACCTTGTAATTTTGTATACCTACTAGTTTATAACCTTTTGGTTTAAGTATTTATATTAGTGGAACTAAATTTTTGTAGTTGTTCTACTTGTGTAACAGGATTTTTTTAAATAATTTAAACTACATTTTTGTGACTATAATTCCAACTATTGCATCCTTCAACATGCAATTTTATAATTATTTTATTTTAAATGTTATAAATGTTTTGTATTTTTTAAATGTTTTGTGCTGTATTTTAGCAATAAATATCAAATTATACATTTATAGATTAGTGTATAGTAACTTTAAAATAACTAACTGTACACATTGTATAAAACATTACATATTTTTATCAAATGTATACATTTTAAATACCTCATCTTGTTTTTGGTTTATTCACCGAAACGTTCAACCCACTAAAATATTATTAATATATTGGCTAAAAAATGCTGCACGAATCAGGTTAGTTTGACTATTTTGACAAAGTTTGTTTACACTTAATTAAACAACAGGAATAAGCTTCACTAAAAGCTGACCTAGAATGAACATTGAACATAATTAAGTTAAATATTCCAAGATTTAAGCTACCGAATTCCATCCATTAAATTAATCGTAACGGGAACATTGACGGTATGTATCATAAACATAAAAATGATGTCACTGGTAAAAAAGTAAACATGTTTTAATAATATATGAATGGGTCTGTAAAACGTAAACACACTTACTGAATTCCGTATAAAAACTTAAAATATTGAACTGTATGTAACTCTACACCGTCTATACTACTGTATCCAGGAATTCTCCTAAATATGTCACTGACCTCAACCACAGGAGATTCTAACATATGCGTGCTCTACAAATACTCCCTTGTCAGGAGTATTTGTATATCCATGGTATTTTCAAGGAATATTTTTGGGGAATTACCAGCAATGGAACACCGCATTGTTTGACTAACGGACTCGGAGCAATCCATGCACTCTATTGTCTACAGGGAAGGGTAGGGTTCTCGGAAGCAGGGATCCAACCATGCCTTGCGTTTTTCCCTCTAAATCCCGGAATTCCCCAGAAATACAAGAGGTGTGGTAGACAAAGATCGTCGTTACAAGAAGCCGAGGCAATCATATTGGAGCCAACCCTTCTGAGACATTAATTGTAGACTACCCCAGTCTTTGGTATTTACAACTCAGTAAGTAACAGTGGGTTGTTAATATCCGGCCCAAATAAACTCTAGTTTTGTTTCAAAATTCAAAATTGTTAATACTGTTCTATGAAAGGGCGACCATACAAAGTAGGTATTTTAAGCCAAGTATGAATGAAGATGAGTGTAGGATGAGTGGCGCGATCTTGTAGTCCTGTTAGTGACTAAGGCCAACATTCCTTAGACACAGCTGTTAATTAATAGCCCATACAGCTAATGGCAACTAAGGGACCTACAGTTTATAGTGGAATCCGAACCACATTTTTGCCTTGGTAATTACGAATTGGTCTAATTATCAGGATAGTACTGCGGATAGTCGTTGTACTCACCCGTGCGGACGTTAATCCACACTGGGGAGTATCGCATCCACAGTGCATGACTATAAATTTAATATCCATAATTTGTAACCTCCTAATAGCTGGATTACAGGACGACGCCACCCGTCCCAGTCATTGTATTCCTAGTAAAATATACAACCGCATAAATGTTAATAAGTTCATTTCGCTTATTTTCAAATTGACACATTTCGTTAGGTTTTAAGGTTTTAATATGAAATAAGTGGTTTTCGTTAAGATCCTAGAAATAAACACATATAGTCATATCAATAATAAAATAAATTTGGTTTTAAATTGGGGTTGCAAGATGAGGAGACATTTTGGTAAAAAAATAAAAAATAAATCTCCTAAGACTAAAGGGCTAAAGGGAAACGGTGATAGTAAAAAAACTCATGTTAACTAACATTTTCTAATAAATATAAAAACATACAACGGATAAAAATAGTTTATACAACAGGTTAGGTTTTTATACAACAAACTGTTGTTAATAACATTGAACTGTTAAAAGAAACTTGGGGAAGAATATCTTTGCATTTACACAACCGTAATAGTAAAATAATCGTCTGTGAGCTGAATAAAACACAGTTCTCAAGTTCGAGAAAGATGTAAACTATTAGTTAAGCTTTCTTTATACAGTAAAGCTTCTTTCGGCAAGCCTCTTATGTATTGTTTTAAACAATCCACGAATAAAAGACCGCCAACACTTAACAGTTGTTTGGAATTTATAACAATTGAAAACGGTTCATATCAGACGTTCTAAGTCAACAGAATCTACATAATGTTTGAGTTTCCCTAGTGTTTCTATAATTTTCATTATTATAACGGAAAGTAAAGAAAATATACGTCTAATAATACTCAAAACATTTATTTACGCTTATACTGTTAACTCACAAAACATTGATTATACATATAAGATAGTAAGTGGTATATGTTTTCAGTGTTATTAGACGTAGATTTAATTGACTTTCCGTAAATTTAAAAAAACACGTACAACGCGGAAAAAGAAGTTATTTATTATTAAATAGTTTACTATTATTTTGGAAAATAGTTTTAATTAAATTTAACATAATATCTCGATCTTATTTATTTCGTTAAAGTCATTTAACCGACGTTCATAATACTAAGTTCTAATTTAGCAATACGTATTTTTATTGCCATTCAATATAATTACAAATTTCTTATTTATCTGTATAATAGTATTCCTACTAGTATACCTAGTAGTATACCTAGTAGTAGTATACCTAGTATACCACCTTCCCTACTGCATTTACAAGTAAGAAACTCGTATATAGTTGTGCAAATACGAAATGAAATATTGCATTCCAATGCAATTTTCTGGGGCCTAATCCGGTTATTTTAACCTCAAACCACTGTATCACGCCTGTAAATGATTTGTAATACCACGTTGCAGAGGGAAATCATTGCTTTTTCTCGTGTTTCGGCCAATCCAATGCTCTTCTAAATTAATGTTCTGGTCTTAACCTAAAAACACGCCTCCCTCCTCCCCCAACTTTAAAAGAAAATACGAGTACACACATGTAGACGCGGTTGTATTAAAGTTTGATTGCTCATATTCCGGTTATGTTACTCGAACAAGTAGAAGCGGTACACAAAGTACTCTCTAGTGGCGCTTGCTGCTTGACGGCAAGAATAGGAACTGCTCTTAATTATTCTAAGTGGTTCCCATTGAGCGATCTAAGTACCTCCTCGCTCTGAACTTGGGTTGAGCTTTGTGTTTCTTCGATAGTTCAAAGATGAAATATTTTTAGTAATTTGTATCTCTTAGGTATTACTAAAATTACATTAAGTTGCATACACGACATTGATATGGTTAAAAATCTGGGTAGCCGAGTGGTTATTTTGCTCGCCTTCAAATCTGAAGGTCGCTGGTTCGAATCCTTGCGAGATCGTTTCCAGACCCAATGACCATTTGTCATTGGGCTATGAATTAATGATGTTATTAACCAAAAGGTCGACGTTAGGTCACAAGGCCAGGGTTTGGACCATTCCCATTCAAAACGTAAAAAATGCCACTGGCGTAAAAACGCACAAACACAAAAAATAAAAAGTAGTTACTTCGCTTGTTTTACGAACTTGAAGTGATACGTAAACTTGCTAGTTTTAATACGTATGCATTATATTTTGAGATCAGTTGATATAGTTGGGCGAATCAATAATGGTGCTTCAGGTTTAATGCGTAAATAAGTATGGATGCAATGCATGGAACGTTTTCCATTAGAAATAACTAGAAGGTCAAAAAGTGAGTTATCGCTTATATTACATATCGCTTATAATTTATAGAACGTCATAAAGCTATCGTACATGTTTGTAGCAAAACTTTATGCATCAAAACTATAAAACTGCTCAAATAAATCTAGACACCTTTCGTATAAGCCCCGGTGCATAAGTGCTGTATGTACCTTACGAAACCTATGGTTTTTTAAAAATTCTTATATAATGGTTTTTTTAACAATCTTATATAATAGTTTTTTATACAATCTGACATAATGGTTTTTTGTACTCCTAATAAAAATCTGAGTGAGTCTATCTATACTTCTAAGACCTTTACCTTACAATACGTTAAATTAAGAGTGAAACTGCTGTAATAAACCTCTCTGCTGTTTA